AAAATAGGTTTTGATTTCGATTTGGATTGTCGGTTTTTAACTGTTTCGAATTCGGTTTTAATTTTAGAAATCGGTTTCGGTGTTTCAACGGTTTTAACCGGTATATTTAAAATCGATTTCGAAACGAGCCCTGTCTAAAACAGTTACGGTTGTCAGAGTTCCATTACGTTTTGGTCCGTATGAGATGCTTATAATAACCCGGTGTTTCCTGTTAAAACGTGACATTTGAACGTGCAATTTGTCGGAGAGGTGGTTAAAAGTTGAACTCCCCAAAAGCGTCGTCGTCGATACGCACACCGTGCGCACACGAAATCCCACCCTCCCCTCGGATTCATTGAGGAGGGGTGGGAGTCTGTAGAGGTGCACGGAGCTATACAAATTAAACACCCTTCTCCGGCAACAATGTCATATAGGCGTTTTTTGAGCAACGTTGACTGTTGAAAAAGTTACGGCTATTTTAAAAACAAAAAGAAGGTTTTTCGTATCTTTCGTACCGAGCTGTACACGTTTGAACGGTACGAAAACCCCGTGACATTATTCCCGCCGAAATATCGTTCTCTACAGATGTCATAACGGGCAACAGTTTTACTCTGAAACCAGGCCGGGCTGTGCTTAAGCCGCCGTGCACGTTGGTATTGCACAGTCTCCGCGGCAGTCCACCTGAACCGGTGGATGGCCGCGGGTGTACACCGTCCGCTCTGATAAAACCCGCAAACGTCTATAAAAAAAATATAGCCGAACAACGTTGCTGCGGTATTGTGCGAACGCGAATGGCCCGGAAATCGCCCGATCACTTCCGACGCGTCTAGAAAACGGCGAACAATAATATTGACAAGTCGGTAGTTCGGCGGGCGCGGATTCGGCGCGGATTTCGAACGTTGGCGGTTCATTTCCCCGCTGAATAAGCAGTTTTGGCGCGGTGTCGACGCGGCATCCCGGGTACCTGCCGCCGTCGCCGTGGAAATTAACGGAGAGCGCTGTTGTTTATAGGCGGTCGCGAAACACCCCGGAGTTTTCGCATGGCGATTATTCGGCGGGGTCTCCAATTGAGTTCGATTTCGGTACGACGATAATATCACGTGATTCCAAGCGGATTCTAAACGGCTTTCGGTCGGCGGACGACCCGCGAAACACGTGACTCGGACACCGAAATCCGATAGCCTTGACTGTCGGGAACGGTCGGCCGTCGGCGCGCGGGAATAAAAATACGATAGTTTTTTTTTTTTTTTTTTTTCATATTTATTTCCACGCGCACAGACTGGACTACCCGTCTGGCCGTTCCGGCCGCGACCGCGGTGGCCGGTAATGACCGCGATAACCAGCGGCCAGACGTTATTTTTTTTTTTTTTTTTTTTTTTATGCACACACACTTGTATAACAACAATTAATAACGCGCGCCGAGCCAAGGCGATTTTCATCAATGAGCAAAGTGTTTCCAGCGCGCAGCACATTATAATATTTATTTGTATTTACTGTATAGTTTAATATTTCACATTATACACGATGCGACCCATATCGCGAGGTGTTACACTCTGTGTACGCGACGACCGTAGTTTGTTGTTTTTTTTTTTTCTCATGAAAAAATACCTATATAATATATTATTTAAAATGATATGCATTGTAATTTATAATAATATGCGTCGTGGCGAGAGTGGACCGTTTAATCATCTTGTCGGTTATCGGCGATTACAGGTGTAATCGACGGTTTCGACAATGATTACGGTGATAATTTTAACACTGCATTGACCTCCGTTCCAGCGGGCGCCATAGCGACCGAACAATAAACCGATTGCGAAAGCCCAGTGGGACAAAAAAAAAAACAGCGCGAAAAAACTGAACGCGAGTGAACGCGGTAAGACGGTTTTTCGGAGATCCGTCGTCGCGTCGCCCCGGTTTCCTTACGGTTATCCCGCGGCTACCACTTCGACGACCATCTCAAAAACTATCCTTCCCTGCCACCCCTACGTTTTTAGAGAACGGCGTTATCGGCGCGAGCGCCTTTGAACATCGTAAAAACCTCGCGTCGAAAAATCGTTTGTTTTTTATTATACGGAATAAATAAGTACAATGATATGGTGCGGCGTCTTTTTTTTCCCCCGAGTAAATAATTTTTATCTGGATAATGACGAGTAAATCTAGTAAAAAGATTAATTTATAAAAAAAAAAAACCAAATTCGGCTTTTTTCTAAAATTGTAAAAATATGTCACTTTTCGATCGCGGAAATCCACCGTCTCGTACGAGTGAATTTTGAAAACCAATGTGTCGTACCCGCAGGACACGACGCGTGATGAGTAAAAGTTCTGAAATCACCGTAAATGGTATCGGTACCTTTTTCCGTTTCATGTGAACATAATAACGTAACAAATTTCACAATAAATATGAGGAATTAAGGACCCGGGACCGTTTTGAAATCCGTACGAAAATGAACGTAAGAATATTGCTCTCAATTGCAATAAATGTTTTGTTTTATTTTTTTTTTTTCATATAACAAAATGATTGTACACTTGGCGCACGCAGTTAATTCATAACAAAATAACAATTGAAATTATTTACGAGTACCGATGTATACGATATGCATCGGCGTACGTAGTAGGTATCGCACCGTCGTTATCGAAACACTAAAACACTGGATTGTTTTGCTCGAATCGGGATGTTCGGCGGAGATGTTCGATGTAATATTGTCCGCAGATAGAAACGTTCTTTCGGCGGAATCCGTACAATCCCTTAAAATATTATCGGGCCGATAAATTTCAATTTTTTTTTTTTTTTTTTTCAGAAACGTCGATAAAATTGCCTACGCGCGACCCCGTAAGCCAGACTCGTAACGTCGACCTCGGCTTTAATAATAACGTTGCTTTCGACTAGTTTCAATCTGTTTGAATGCGATTGGTTTGCGCGCCGGTTTTATAAAACCCGCGGTACACATTGAGACATTTCTGAGAAAAAAAAAAAAATGACCGATTAGAGAGAAAAATAGTATGAAAAAAAAAAATAAAAAAAGACATTTTCGCTTCTAAACGCCCACCAAATAGTTTCGCCCGCGCGGTCAAACGCCGACCCTGTAGGCTACTTGTTCAGCGTTGACACGCGGTGCTATTAATTGACCATCTGTTTCCGTAACCCACACTAATATTAAACGTCCGTCGACACGTTTTAATTAAAGAGTGTTGGAGTTTAACACCTTCGCGTGAATCGATGAATGGAAATTCCGTTGGCCGCTACGCGTTTTACTATTGACGCGACGCCGCAATGAGAGAAACGGTAATTTATTTGCCGATAAAGACAAAATGTTTCAAAAACGAATTTCAAACAACATAAATAACACGCCAGGTAATACACGACTGTATATTCTATGGGAAGTTAAATTTAAAAAAAAAAAATCGATGCAAACCCAAAAATTATCCTGAGCAGAATAATGTAATTTAAAGCGTTTTAATAGTTTTGAATTAAACCGTTTTTTTTTTTTTTTTGTTCTTTTTTCGCGTGAATTTTTAATAATTAAGAAATAAATATTATCGGTAATTTTTCGCGTTTTCAAAGAATTTTATCCATAAATTTCAACTTAAAACTCTAAAACAAAAATTAATTACGGTAGTTAATCTGAACTACGGACCCCGTACAAAATACTCGAGCATTTATACAGAGTCAAAACAATTTCGTTCACAGAAAAACATACGAAATCAATAATAAAAACAACGTCGAAACCTGTTCACGGGTCGGAAACTACATTGTAGGTGGGTAGTTGAGAGGGTAGGATATTATAAAATGTAATTTTGTTGACAAGCTGTACGCAACGATAAACCGTTACGAATTTACAAACGAAAAAACGATACCGAACGAAGTCGTGCTTTTTCCTTGTCGCAAAAGTAACCTGGTGGAAATTAACAAAACTCAAACGACAGTTTCGTGTTAAAAAGCGCATGGGTACACCGGAATCTAATTTACAAATCCGACCCGTGGTCACGAGTGCTATAACTAGAATCAAATAATCCCCCTCTCCACCTCCCACGATTAACTCGCCACCTTAGATTCGTTTTAGATTCTGAGCGCAGCGAGACATGTATCGGTGTACGGTGTGTTCTTTTACTCCAATCGAAAAAACAAAAAAAAAACAAACAAACAACAAAAGAGATATTTGTAGAATTTTTCGATCCACCCACGGGAAAGTCTACAGCGGTTATCATAACGAATTCGTAATTGTCGATTTTATTTTTTTTGCGTTGCGATTCGGTTATAAAAAAAAAACAGTAAACAATGGTGGAATACTCGTGGTGGACTTTTTCCAACGTGGTAAAATTTTCGAAATATTCCGAGTCTCCGGCGGTACGGTACGCCGCGCGCATACGAAACGGGGAAAACAACGCGCACGCGTATAACGCGGCGGACAACAACCGCGGTGCCGGTGATTACACGGACCGGCGCAATAATCCGTTCCCGGGGGATGTTCCCGCGGAAAAAACGGAACGTTCGTTTAAACCCGCGGGCGGCAAAACGTTTAACGCCCCGCGGACGCATTCGGTATCGAAAGCCGAGCGAGCTATTAACGCGTTCCGGAGCCCGGGCGAAAAACGGGCCGACGTCGGTTTTTCGGCGAGAACGATTCGGAACCGGCGATCGCGATCGAACTGTACGCGCCTTTCACCGAGCGGGTGAAGAAAAAAAGTCGTATCTCAACCGTCACGACAACGTGGCCGTGGTCGTCATTGCGCGATTCGAGAGCGCCGACGGCGTTGGGTGAACCGCGCGTCGAACGGTAAACGCGGGTCCGACGGGCACGCGATCATTTTATCACGCTCTCCCGTCCGTACCTTTTTACGTTCAAAACAAACGCTGAATATATTCACAGATCGCGGCGTAACGATATTACGCGATAAACGACTCCCGGTCGTACCCGTGGAGGGGGGGGGGTGCTCCTCAATGAGAAACGTTAACGCGTCACTCTGACGGCAGGTAGTGGTAACCTCAGCGAATCCCAGCAGACACCGTCGGTGTCGCGTCTGCGCCGTCGTTACTCGGTGCAACCGTCAAGTGTGGGGCCCGAGACGAGATTCGGGCGACACGTCAACGAGGCGGACGCTTCACCGGGCGCATTGGACTCGGAAAAATTTTTAGGGACGGCGCGAACGCAGTCCCAGCTACCAAAAATTACGTGCCCGAGATATCCGCGTAAGGGATACTCGCAGGGGTCAACCGTACCGGAGTGCAATGATACGGCCTCGCCCTGGAGGAACCGCCTATATGATCACGGTTAACCTCGACACCAAGTAAGTATGAATTTACGGCGTCGCGGCGACCGTTAAGTAACGGGCGGCGCGTGATGGACCGCGTGAGTTTTCGCGGCCGCGCCGCCGGCCCCGGCGCCGTTCGGACGGCCGCCGCGATTCGGTCGGACGCCGGGCGTCCAAGGTCCGACCCGTCGCCGCCGGGCCGGGACGCGGCGGGTCTCGAACGCGGACCGACCGGGACGTACCGAGCGGAAATCGGTCGGCGGACGGCCGCGCCGCAAACCAAATCCGCCGAGCCGCCATCTGTCGGCCGTGCCGGCAAACGCCCGTCCGCCTTTGCGCCGCCGTCCGCGCGACCGTTGTTCGGGGTTTAGCGCCGCGACCGGCCCGACCGCAACGCACACATAGGCGTAACGTAGCGCGAATCGTCTATGCGTCCGGTTCTTTTTTTTTTTGTTTTTCTCTTTTTTTTTGTTTGTCTACCGTACGGTCGTAATAACGGCGGCGTGTAATGCTTCGGCAGATACCGAATACGCACTTTTGTGCGTTTTGTGCGCCATTCCGAATGGGACGAAAGGTACCTACGACCGGACCGTTAGTTCGATGTTTGTCCGCTAATAGCGACGTCGGTACACTGTCGTTTTCGCCAAGACCCGAAGACATTCGCCGCGCCGTGAAATATCCTAGCGGTAAACGAACGACGCTCGACGAACACATTTTTGCATTTTCGCGTTTCGCATCGGGAACGGCTCGGTGCGGGTTACGAAATCGGAGAACTGCACGCGAATCCGGTTTCAACGCCAGCGCGGCCGTTATTATGACGGTTGACGGTCTCCGATCCCGAATGTTTTCGTACCTGTCGCGCGTATCATTTCCGACAATAATTGTTCACAAAACGCTAAAAGCAGTAATTTCGCGTCTCGCACTAAAACGTGACCGTAGATGAAAACGCGCGCGGAGCACAATATGCGAACCGCTAAACGCAGAAAAAAGGCGCGCGTCCGAAGTGTAAAAAACACCTAGACGCGTACAGCGGTCCGTAAAACGACCGTCGGAAACGCCGTACATTTGGTGCGCCCGCCGGTTTTTCTCGGGGTATTTTGGAAAAACGTAAACACACCGGCCGTGATCGCTCCGTATTTAACGGTTCGCGTATGATGGACACTCGTTGGTTTTCCCCTGTAAATTTCGCTGAAGCAATGTTGGGTTATGTTAACGAAACGGAGAAATTTCTCGCTGAAACGCGTCGTCGGAATCTTGACACCGCACGAAAATCGATAATTGGTTTGCCAACGCAATAAAAATACCTACACACGAGGCACGCGTAATGCATATTGCGTGAATGTATTTCTTTTTTAATTGAATTCAATAGCGAAAAAATATCCGTACGTAACGTATAATCAATTTATAACGTATTACCCGTTAAATTGCGTTCAGTAATAAGGAAAAAAAAAAACACTCGGCGTTTCGATCGCTTCGGTTTTTCGATTCCCGCACGAGACGCTCTAGAGAGCCGGTCCCTTACCGAGCGTCTTGAGCCAGTCTCGCTGTAACAGCGGTCGCGATTCGCCGGGGGGGAGTTGAGGGTGCCGTGTTTATTACGCGGTTACGCTTTTATAATTTACAACCAGGACCGTTTCACCGCGGGTAGACGTACGCCCGGAACGTGATTTATGATAACGGCCGTTCCCCGCAACGCCGTGCAAAACGCGTTGGTACGCGGGGCGCCCGGAGACGATACACGAAAATACTATCGCGAGCGTGCTAAATACCGTGTTGAAATACCGGAACGGTTCACCGCGAGTGTCCGCGGGGGGACGTGACCGCCGCGCAAAACGAACGCGAAATACAAACGTCGCGGAGAAATCCGGCGCCGAACAACGAACGTCAACTGCGCGCGCGGGTATACGGAACGATAAGCGATATTATTAAAATATTGTTGCGGTCGGGCGCACATCCGACGTTTCCGGATACGGCGATTGTCGCGGATCGTCGATCGTGCCCGTTGTCAAAAGACGTACCCGCCGACAAGAATACCTATCAATAATAAAGGGCGCGCCGCTCGGTTTCGCGGCCGGCATAGTCGACACAATAATATCTGTAACAGCAGGACGATCGAATTCGTATTGTATTCACCGGCTAGACCGGGATGGCGTCTGTGACGTTGTCGGTCGGATCGAGATTTCCGGTACGAAAAAAAGAAAATAAAAGTAAAAACCGCACGACACGGCACCGCCGGTTCATTCCCAGTTTCGCGCAAATGTACGCGTTGCAATAAGTCCGGAGATGATAAATATCAGCGGAGTAATTCGCGCGGTGTCGGTTCGACGGCGGTACGTCCGTATCCGGGAGACGACCGGGATGTTAGTGTTCCCCTCGCGGACAAAACGCGCGGAACACCCAAACGCGATTCGGCGATCGCGTTCTTGAAGCGGCGAAACGCGCGGCCGCCGCCAACCGGCACACATAGGTGGCGCTGACCGTTGAACGTGGCTTTGGACCGCGGTTCGGCGGGCCGTACCGCGCGTACGGCGTCTTTTCAAAGCGGCCGGGTATTCGCGCCGCGTCCGTGAGTTCCTGTCACGCCGGTCGGCCGCTCGCCGATCGTCCCGCCGGTCCGGCTATCGACTCGGCTGTCGAGTTCGTGCGCGTTCGGTTGCTGGATCGAGCTGCCGGCCCGAGGCATATAAGTGAGCCCGACACGGACCGACGGCATACTTACCTGGCGTGGAGGTTAACCGTGATCACTGAGGCGGTTCCTCCAGGGCGAGGCCTGATCATTGCACACCAGATCAGGTTGACCCCTGCGAGTATCCCTAATGTGGATACCTCGGGCGCAGAATTTTTGTTAGCTGGGACTGCGTACGCGCCGTCCCTCATATTGAATTGAGAAATTGAGTACGATCTTCCTCCGTCGTATGTGACGAGAACTTTGTTAACGGATCACCTTTACAGTGTTTCCGCGCATTGCTGGAGATCCATGAAATCGAATTAATATTATCTATGTGTTGTTTAACGCGTTTTCCCAACTTTGGGAGTGCTAATATTATGGATACGTCAAAGAGGCAATGCAACCTTCTTATACGCGACTCTTACAACAGTCAGTTTTCAATTTTCTCAGGGGTTTGTGAAAAGCCAAAAAATATATTAGTTAAATATTATGATTTTTTTTTTTTTCCCCCACGTACACCTTTTCTACTTGCAATTTTTCTCCGGTTCACAATGATAGTAATTTTTCTAAGGAGAAATCTGACTGGGGAGGTATTTTAAAGAGGCGCGTTTTTCGATATTCCCAGCAAACGTGAATAACCGGGAAAATCAGTTCAATATCGAACAAATATTATTTAAGAAAATATATAACGCCCATTTAATTATTTTACCACAATATGACATATAAATTGTTGACAAACCGACATTATGCACGATAAATGTAAACAACAAACGCCGTAATAAAGTCCACTATCGCTTCACGTTCATACCATAAGTGCGTCCAATGTTCTCGCGGACCACAGGATGGGAAACACTGCTTTGAAACATTGAGACCGGCCGTTCAGTCCCGTGGAGCTTTGAAATCGTGTGAAATACCTATAATAATAACACGTATCCAAATAGTGTTTACGATGGATAATACGTATACGTATATAACGAAATCATAAACTGTACTGCTGCGGTTAATTTTGATAATTTAAATTCGTATAATACAGAAGCAACAAAATATAACGATTTTAGTTTAAAAGAAAACATTGTTATTGTTATAGTGTAGTAACCAGTTTAAATATTCGGAGAAAACAGTGTTAATAATTAACTTGAAATATTGAGGGACCAGTACCGCGTGTGGTCGCATGGTTACCGTATCCGGCAACTCGGGGAAAAACTGCACTACCGCTCCGTTCAGGATCGGTTTTCGTTTGCATTTGCGACGGTAATTGTTCGTATCGGGCAGTACCTACATTAAAAAACGGGTTATTCATCACTATTAAAGGTTTGTCGATTCGAAATTACAATAATGTACGGCGCCATATCGTACGTAACATTTGTATGTTCGCTTCGTCGATGTCGCTATAAAGACATACGCCGATACGGCCGAAGCTGAACCAAAGGTGTGACGGGCTCGAGTGTTGTGCGAACTTCATGCAGCGTAGCGCAGCGCGTAATCGCCTGTGACTCTGTAATCACTTCATATACGGTCATTGTGAGGGACGGCGCGTACGCAGTCCCAACTACCAAAAATTATGCGTCCGAGATATCCACATTAGGGATACTCGCAGGGGTCAACCCGATCTGATGTGCAATGACCAGGCCTCGCCCTGGAGGAACCGCCCAAGTGATCACGGTTAACCTCCACGCCAGGTAAGTATGCTCGTGGCCCGTTTTGCGCGCCTCTTTATGCTACGGGCGGCCTGCCGTACAAGTCAAGCGCCGCCACTGGCCCGCCTGTCCGGATTGCCACTGACCGTTAAACACTCTTCGGTGCGACAGCGGACGTCCCGTACACGGGTCTCGGGACTCGCCCTGAGGATTTTTCGTGAAACCGGCTTTTTCGGCGACCAACAATCGGTCGGTCCGGCCACCGAGTTCCACCGATCTCGTAAACCGTTCGCTATCAACGCCATCTATGTACCGCAGACGGTGAACTCGAAAAACCGTGTAGCGGACGTTCGTTATAGATTATACCGGTCGTATCAAGCTCATAAAGTCATAAGCACAAATTATAGACTCTCCCCTAGAAAATAATTGACACAGTATTTAAAATCTTATTTTTCACTCGATTATTGTGTATTTTACCTCTGAGTTTTACTTATTAATCAATTTACTTAGCCCAAACGGCTCAATACTGACAACATGTAATCTATAAGTATAATAGGTACCTATCTATACAATATTTGCTGAAGTAAAATAATATAAAATATTATACTCACCATATATGATATATAATTTAGAATATTTCATAATTGACTATTGTCTTACTGTAATCGATTTTTGTATAGAATACAATGTAAAAATGAGTTGTATAAGTACTTATTTTATTTGTGTGTATTTGCCTACAATATAATATGTACTTAATTTTTATTTTCTCTTAAGCCACGCATTTTGCAAATTGAGCTCTGACTGTAAACTATGAACAAAACGGTTTTTTATTTAAAAAATGTGTTCAGTTTCCTATATGCGGACACGTAGATATAACGAGACTTCAGTTCACAATAATTAAATATTACTATCTATTACTGTCTAGCGGTAATAATTATTATTAACTTGTTGACCTACTGAATATATAAGTACACCTGTTAGCTGATGCTGTCTGTTCATTTTGAATCACAATATTGGCAGACAAGACGTCACCAACTAATGTTGCTAAAACATTAGTACAACCTAAATCTAATTGTAATTTTCAACTTAAGAGTTGTAAGTTAGAATATATTGATTTTAGTCATTATTTCATTCTTTCACCAGTATTATAATATAAATAGATAACTATCATTAAATACATACTACTCAGGGAGTAAAAAAATGACTTACACTTACTTTAAAATTGTATGTAATCGTTATTTGAATTATTAAGAGCAACCAAAAATTGTTTTTTCAAAAAATAACAAGTACAGTAGCTAGTACTAAAGCATTTAAACTATAATAATTTAATACAATCCCTAAAAATGTTTGCATATATGGTGTTCACGTAAAACACTATTAGCATTTTTGTTTTATTCTGAATTTAATCCAATTTAATATAACAGAAATCAAAATAAATACAACAATAAATAAATGTACAACATTTATATTTGAAATTTAAATTTAATTGTCATAAACTCATAAGTAAACAGATTTAAATATTAAAGTAATATGTGATACACGAGTAATTTGTATAAAAACATTTTTTCACTATATTACAATAAAATTCAACAAATAATAAACAAGGAGGAAATAAGAAGAATAACCAATGGTTACTAATTATTTATAATATAAATGTATTAAAGAATTATTTAGCTTTCCTACATAAAAAGTCAAATTAATTAAAAATATTCTAGTAAAAAATTAATTTCAAATTATTTATTAGTTTGTCTTAACAACAATATAGAATTATACTTATTATTTTATAACACAATAGTGCTTAATTTAAAAACTAAAAAATAATATGCAAATAAATTCAAACACATTTGTTTTAATAGTAGTGAAATAAAAATGTACTTATATTTATACATATTTAAAATGTTTAACAGAAAATTATTTGCAAATTATGAATTTTTCAATTTATATTTTGCCACAATTTAAAATAAAACAATGACATACAAATAATAGAAATATTATAATACAATTCATATTCAAATAATTTCTATAGAGTCAATCGGTAGCCATTTAGAACTTTCGAGCGCATCCCATAGACTGTAGTCTTGTGAAACCAAATCTTTGTTCAAAGCGTCTATGTCAATTGATTTTTTATAATCTGAAAAATTAAAACAAATACAATTAAGTAGCTTACTAATTAATAAATAAAAACCTACAAATTAAAGATATACATTTTATCAACATTTATACTTCTAACAAACTAATTTCAACTAACATACATTCAGTGTATATAAAAAAATACAAAAATAAAAACAAACTGATAAAAATTATTTTTAATAATTTGTTTTAAAAATACTATACATATCTCACTGTATTATTATTAATTATCAGTAATCTGGCATTTAATTGGACAAAAAGTCCAAAGAGTAATATACTGAACATTATTTTTAAATCATATAGCTCAGATAAAAACGTGATACCCCTCAATATTAATTGTTCATTTAACAAACCGATGAGAGTAAGATTGCTATTAGCTTTAGCAACAGCTGTTTCAACAGTCGGGTCTGCCTTATTTATATACTTTTGATTTACTGGTTGATTCCACAAAGAGTAACGAAGCCAATAGTTTGTTTCAAAATATTGTCCATAATCTTGACTAGCCTTGTATCCTTGAGAATCGTTTGTAGCACTAAAACAAAAAATTTAAATAAATATAGTGTAAGTAGCAAGTTAAAAAATATTAAATTTAATATATATTATCTAGTAAAACTTTGCTTCAATAAACTATTAATTCCACTTTACAACAAACATCTATGGTAAGCCATAGTATTTTCCTATATAACAAACTATGTCATGTTTCAAAGATGTATTAAAATTTCACTGCAATAAACTATAAATGTTAAGTTAACAGAAAACAAGAATATGCTACCAGATAATGGGTTTGACAATTCAAAAACTGGTGGTAAAACATTATTGTGAAGAACTTTATGGTAAAACAATAAATGGTTAAGTAAAACTTAGAATTTGTCTTCGGCATAGACGTTATTTTTTTCAAACATTCTGACATATAAGAATGCATTATCACATTTACAATGTATTTGATATTGAACATTTAAATAATTATGTTCAATTTCTACTATAAATTGCCTAGTAAATTTTAATATATTGTATACATTTTTTTGTTTCAATAATATCAATATTACAATCATTAATCAAATCGATTTCATTATGAAATTACAAATATAGAATATAAATATGAAACAAGGTTAATATAATTTTGATACTGAGTGATTTTAAATTTATTAATTTATGATTATTATTACTTATATTTGTATTATTATTAGTTATTGAATTGTATCTATTATAAACTTAATAAGAAAAAATCAGCATTGTTGTAAAGTTTTATGTAATTAATAATTTTATAAATACAATTTTTATCATAAATAGTAGTGCAGATAGATATTTTTTAAAATATAATTTCCATTTATTATAATTTTTTTATTTTAAAACGTATACAACTTAAACTTAACTAATTTTTATGTTTTTGAGCAACTTCAACTTAAGATTATTATTTTAATTTTTTGTATTGCTTAACACTAAAATTATTGTTAATATATTATTAATTTATAGCTTATTTAAATATAATAAAAGATTGACATACACAACAATGTGACGTTCTGATTTCGGGATTACACAGCTAACTTTTATAGGTTTTGAACCAAGACCAGGAAATCCATTCATGTTGTTTAGACAGTGTTTCTGTTCTTCTTCGTTGCCGAACCGAATAAAACCATATCCTTTGCTGTAACCCGCGTTGTCTAAGACAACTGAAAAAAAAATAACCAATTATTCATTACCAATATCATTAGCATTATTTAATTATATTACCTTTAGCTGTACGTATGGATTGATATCGGCAAGCAAATGTTTTATACAGCTGATAATCGTCTACTTCTGAGCTTAGTTCACCTAACCATACAGAGAAATCCTTATCACTTACAGGAACTTTTCCAGGATTTCCAGCGTGATTAAGTTTGAATCTAATTGGCTAAAAAATCATTTAAAATATATAAATTAAAAGTTGTATGTTAAATTATATAATTGAATAACTAAATATATTTTGATCGGTTTAATTATTTTTATATTATCATACATAGAAGCCATCTTAAAAATGTATTATATATTATAGTACATCAATATTGTAATTGCATTATTATTTTTATTTTATTATTTTGTATCAAATATTTTGAGAATTTAAAATTCTGAGAGAAAGTTTTTTTTGTCTGCCAGTAAACAAGTTTTCAATCAAAATACTGGTTTCAATCATGAAGGGTTGGTCTCTAATGAAAATATTATTTGTGATTTGTTCTGTATCTTAACAAAAGGGGAAAACCAAATAAAAAAAAGACGTACTAGGATTATGAGGGCAAGCGCATCCAGTTGTAGATAATTTAATGTATACCTGTAAGCAACGATAAACCATTGCTTACAAAAAAACGATTCTGAGTGGAATTCAGTTGATAGTGATGCTTTGTCAACAATATTTATGTCATTTTATAGTAAAATTAAATAAATAGCCTTTATATATTTTTTTTTTTTTTGATAATATTGATATTTTGATATATGTTATACTGATTTTCCAGGTTTTCCCATGTTCTTCGTGGTTTTCTCATGTTTTATCCCAGTTTTTCTTATTTTCTGAGAAAATCAGAAAATGACCTCTTTAAACTACCTTCCTAGAGAAATTTAGTTAAAAAAACATTTTTATCATTATAAGTTTGAGCAAAATAGCTGGTATAAAAGTTGTGCACTGAAAACATTAAGGCTGTAATATATTTTAACTAATACCTAGTTGTTAGTAGAAAAGTTGTTAACAGATAAAAAAAAATAAACATCTTTGTAAAACCATGGGCTTCTTTGTTCCACTCAGAATCTAAAGAAACTTAATATTTACTGTCTGTTGAAATGAATATTGTTTTTTTATAACTCAGTGAAAAATAATAATAAAGATCTGATATTCTCACTGAATACTTTTTTATATGTCATATTATATTCAAAATATTCTAATACAGCTATAAATATTTACAGCCATTTTAAATGTTTGATTTATTTTAGTTGGATACAATATTTTAGGCTTCATATAAATGCTCAAAAATATTATACAAGGTTCCCATTAAGTTGTTCACATGAAAATACAACAAATCAATAGTGATATTTATTCATTATAAACGAAATTTTGTGTATCCTAAACAGTAGTTGGAAATGGCACATTATTTTATTTTGTTAAGAAATGTAGAGCACAATAACACTACATTTTTCACAGTTAAATAGCGCGAAATTTGCTACTTTTTACCAAAATAAAATTATGAATTTAAAGAAATATTATATAATCTGGAGTTATGTTATTTTTATTTTAGTTTATAGTAAAATAAAATATATAACTATAGTTTCTTTTACTCTTATTGAAAAATTAAAATGTAAATAAATTGCTGTTATATTATACTGTAAGAATTAATATTTAAGGTACATTTTATACGATTGACAAAAATAGTAAAGTTCCCTTTTATATGTTGAAAAAAATAATGCACTACTTTTTAAAAAAGCTAATTTTGTAGTGCTCAAACTTATAAAAAAAAAGTTTCAATCATTGAAGGTAATTCCTTTTTTTTTTTTAAATCCAGCAATAATGGTAGCGCACTACATTGAGTGTTGATTTCCGACCACTACTAATAACCATATATTTAAATTTATTTTCAACATTTATGTGAATGAAATTTGTTTGACCCCCCTAAAATATTCAAAAATTAGATAAAAGATTTTTTATACGTTGAACTTGGTGGTAAAAAAATTATGTGACTTTTGTTCCAAATTATTACTGCATTAGAGCATAGATATTGGACAATACAATAATTATATTATTTTATATACTGAGTAGAGTGAGGAATGTATTGGTTTTACAATGGTGTTTACTTTTTTATATATTTCTCTAAGAACAACTTTTCTACCAGCAATTTTGCTCGGATTTATAATGCTAGCACTTTTTCTAAAAGGAAATCTGACTGGGGAGGTACTTTAAGGAGGTTATTTTTTGAAAAAACAAAAAAATAAGTACACTATTAAACAAACATTATTGAATGAAAACCAAACTCAGCTTAGAATCATTTACAGATATACATTCAATTACCCCTAGACTACCTTCCAAACTTCTCACCTACAACAGTAGCCCAACCACGTAAGAAGTGTGTCAGTCTTTTTTCTTTAGTTATTTATGAAAATACAATTGCTAGCTGTCTCAAATACTGTGATAATATTCTTTTTTATGAAAAAATACTTTATTCCATCCTAGAATATCATACATTTTATAATATATCTATTACTTTTATCAGCATGAAAACAAAAAAAATATATATGTGAGAAAAAATAATTAATAATTTATAGTATTTTTATAAAAAACCACTATTTAATCATATGTTGACCTACATTTATAATATATAACCTCTTATCTACATCCCATCTCCAAATAAAATAGCTATTACCATTATAAAATATAATATTTATAATACATAACCACACTCTTAAAATAATATAACTAGGCACATATCCGTACAATTTCATATTTTACAAATAAGTCAGTTTTCATTAGATTTTAGAACAATAAGATTCTAAAAAAACCTGTCCTAGGGTAATGGGGACTGGTGCAGCCACTAATATAGGTAATTTAATATATATCTGTAAGCAACGATTAACCATTGGTAATGAAAAACGATTCTGAGCGGGGTTCAATTGCTTTGTCAACAATATATGCCATATAATATAATATACCATATAATGGTAATTACATATGCATTATAGATTTTCTTCAATAATATTTGTTAAGTAATGTACCTATATCCTCGTTTTTTCCAAATAAATGGAAAACTCGCAGAAAAATGAAAAAAATTGACTTTCCTAATGTGCCTACCCAGTCTGATTTCCTTTCAGCAAAAGTGGTATTATTGTAAATCGGAACAAAATTTCTAGTAGTAAAGTTGTCCACAGAAAAAAAAAATATCATTGTAAAACCAGTTAATTCCTTGCTCCATGAAGAATCTAAAAAAACAAAAGTTACTTGATTATTAAATAACTAGATAGAATTAATTTAATAGATGTTAGATAGACAACAAAAATTATTCTCTTGAGAGGACGCTATACTCACATATGCTGTTTCTGTCATATAATTGAACAAAATAGCAAATTCTTATTCTATAGGGACCTGTAGGTGCAATTTGATTTAATATTTGAGTGAATTGACCCATCATTAAACGTAAATGTAAAGTTCATATATTTACTTGTTTTTGTTCGTATTTATAAATTAATTTTATTTATATTATTTATGTATGGTTGTTGAACACAAATTTAATAATAATAATCAAACTTAAAGATAAGAACATTATCTATATAGTTTCGTTGTTTTTTCACTGTAATTTTAAATTTTAAGCAAGATATAAGCATTTTTAAATTTGACACACTTAAATCTCACTTAAAAATTTAAATTATAGGGGAAATAATGATGAAAAAACACAAATAATATTTTACCTTTGATAATTGATCAATTCACTTTAATATTAAAACTAACGGCACACAGTTGTACCTGCTGAACAAAATTTTGCTTTGTCACACAGTTCTATAATGAGGACAGCACATGTGAGTATGGCGTCTCCTAGACAAATATTTCACAGTTACTTTTTAATAATGTATATATATATATATATATATATATATATATATCTGTATAAATATATACTTACTGGATTAGAACCAGGTATATATTTTCCATTAAGTTTGTGTAATACAGATACTGGATCATAAAAGTCAACAAATGCATATCCAGCCGTCTCTCCAGTATTTTTATTACGCATTAACTTAACATTCTTCGGATATTCTCCCATCTTTTGAAATGCACCCGTAATAAAACTCTCCGTCATATAAGGTTCTAGCTACACAATTCAAATTTTACTGTTAAACAAATACTAATACATAAATTATTTCATTAAACATACACTTCCCATCCACAAACTTGAAACGCTTAGTCCAGTAGAAGGTAATGGTACTGGTTGGGCAGTTACTTGTACTGGTACGTTTTGATTAATAAACGCTGTAGCTGGTTGAACAGGCTGTGTAGGAGTGTACGTAGGTTGTTGATTATAATTATACATTTGATAATAATTTGGTGGATATTGCTGATATTGTTGATTGTATTGATTATACTGTTGGTTGTATTGATTTGGATACATTTTGTAAGAACTTTATTCAAAGGATTAAATTTGAATATAAAAATCTAAATATGAATAAATTCCTTAGTTACAACACGATTATATAGATAATTATAAAGACATGGTTATGCCTCACTAAAAATTAACAAACGTTAAAGTAATTTGTATACATTTATTTTCAACTAAATTATTAAATTCAATAATACTACCAATAATACTTAAGTTAAATTTTAATTTTTCAATTTATACCAAACACGTTACACGTCTTATTAATGAAATTGTTTACAGTATAGTTTACAAATCTGTGATAACATAACAATGACAACCTCCAATAGTCACAGTTCACAATCATGATAATGTTGTTCTTGGTTAACCAGTGGTAACTATATTTAGGGTGGTAACATTCTATCTGTATTCTGTGGTGGTAACAATACAAAACTAAACAACTAATTATCAGCCATTTCCGTGTGTATTGGAGTCTTAGAAAATAATTGGAGTTCACAATTTAGATTTGATTTTGAATTCTGTGATTTTAGTTCAAACCAATAAAATAACATAGATTTTAGTATAGAACAATAGAATTTAAGTTAAGGTAATATTATTCAAGTCGAATGAAACATTTTACAATTTAATAATTTAATATTTTTCATTATTTGTACAGATGAATGCTTCTACTAGCGGTAATTCGTTGGATGTTTCGAACGCATCAAATGCTTTATGGCTTGTAAAAGTGCCTAAATACATTGCAGACAAATGGGATAATGCTCCCAGTGGTCTAGAAGTCGGTAAAGTTAAGGTTGTTAATGTCCAAGGCAAAAGACCCGATATTTCTCTTAATCTTTCTGAAGCTCTTTTGTGCTTGGACAGTGAAAAAAACAGTGAACCGATACCAAAATCGTTCAAACTAGACTCAAAATCCATTCCTGGGCAAACAATAGGTGTATTAGCTGAACACAGGGCACCATATGATCCAGATGCAGTTGTTCAAGAACCTGATAAGTTATCTATAAAAGGGAAAATAAGTCAAAAACTAGAATGTCGGCCAATTGGTGATCAGGTGATTATTATACCTTATTTTAGGCATAAATTCACATTAGTTACCCAAAAGATTTTTTAATTTTTTTTGGGGACATGTATTTCAACGAGTTAAAATAATTTTTATAAAAAATTTTTCAAAAACCATTATTTTTGAAGTGTAACTATAAGCCGTATATTATGCATGAGAATAAATTTAGTTTAGCGACCACACGAAAACCACGCAGAAAACGTCAACCGTGTTTTTTGAAAATAATGAATTTGTGAAATTTTACATTTTTCCACTTGCCTGTTTTTATTTAAAAAGTGGCGTCGAAAATCAAATAAATTACATCTTTAAACTACAATCTAGACAACTTAAGCTTTCAGAAAAGTTGTTGCGCGTAAACATCGGTTCAAGTTTATTAGGAAAAAATGTATTCATAGACCAGAAAAAATAAAAAATAAAAATCTTAGTAAACCAATAGCTCCTTTGCTATACTAGGAATCTAAAATCAAAAAATCTGTTGGTTAGCTAAAGTGAATTTGTTCCTTATTTTATTCTTCATTGTTGCTATTTGAATCAAATATTTTATTTAGGTTTATATGGATTTAAAAAAACATGCTATACGAAAAGCGCAACTTCCAACTAGACAAGTACAAAAATTGGATAAAGTTGTACAAAACTTCAAGCCGATATCAGATCATAAACACAACATAGAATACAATGAAAAGAAAAAGTCTGAAGGCAAAAAGGCTCGTGATGATAAGGATGCTGTCATGGCTATGTTGTTTAAGGCGTTTGAGAAACATCAATATTACAACATCAAAGATTTGGTAACATTGACTAAACAGCCAGTTGTGTATTTAAAAGAAATCTTAAAAGAGGTTTGCAATTATAATCTCAAGCATCCACATAAGAATATGTGGGAGTTGAAACCTGAGTACAGACATTATAAAGATAAAGATGAAACAGAGACAAACTAGTATACAAGTATTTTAATTTATATCAAATAAAATATAATACATTTAAAAAATAATAGGTATTAGATACGTTTTAAATTTAAATTATTAAGTTAATTGAATTGTACTACTTTAAATTACAAGAAAATATGAATTATCAATTAAAATTAATTAGAAATATAATTTTACATTTTATTCATAATTTGTTTAAGTTTTTACCAAATGTACATAGAATGATAATCTGATACTATCTATTATATTGTATACATTTAATTTTTATTGTAAAATTATACAAATGTATTCATACATATTCTTAGAATTATTGATTTTTACAATATTGTCATTCATTTAAACTTAAATCAGATTTGTAAAAAATATTTTATTTTCTATAATTCTGTGAAAATTGATTCCATTTCTAGGCATCTGTATTAAACAATTTAAATATTCATAATTTATAGTTTAAAACAGTTATTTCCCTCTATTAAAAAATATATAGACTTGCATTTATTTTATCCTTAAATTATTTCTAATCTTCAAATTCCAATTTTTTTTATTAAAAATATAGTTTATAGTTGTAATCCAACCTTAAATAAATTACTGTAATTACAAATTTTGATATTTTATTGTTAGTTCAATGATTAGGTTTATAATAAAAGTTGTATTTCTATTTTATTATGTACGCGATCAGATCAAAATATCAAATATTGATCATTGGAGGTGTGGACTCATTTAAAGTCATCTGCGATGCCAAACAATTTTTTACAATTTACAATGGTTTATTTTATTTTTAGTTTTTTGTGCTGTGACAAAAATGTTTACCAGAAATCTTGCTCTGATATGTATGTGTGGCATAATTTCTGAAAGGAGATATTGTCTTGATGTTACTTTAAGGAGTTTATATGCAAGACATCCTTTCATCAAATAACACCATCAAATTTTATATAGGAAATATGTCAAAAGATGTTGAAGAACAGTTCATATATCTAATAAAAAATCTCCCTATTTTGTTCTTCAATATGACTTAAGTAAAGATGTTGCAAATTGTTGTAAATTATTAATCTTTATTAAATTTTTAAGTGGAGATAACAGAAATGTTGAAAATTATCCATCTTGATTTAATTCTGAAATTTGAATTTGTATCACCTTTTTTTATTAAATTAATCTGATGTCAATAAATAAGTTAAATAATTTTTCCATAATATAAAGTATATTTCTGATTTTATTTTATGCGTACAAATTATAATCATAAAGGGAAAAAAACCAAGTGATATGAAGTGGGGGTGGAATCGGGTCTTGGTCCGTGTAGGTGGAAATTTATAAAAGTGGTTCATGCCTAGTGTTAAGTTGGGAACCACTACTCTAGTACTACCAGCAGGCCTAAATCACAAATAACTAAATTTATGACTATTGTTTAAACAAGGTTTTTGTATAATAATAACCTAACAAAAAATACACGAGAGCTCTCTCTACTTCCCTAAAGTCACTGTATAGTGTGCAATATCCTAATTTGGGATCATAGGGGCCTTACTTTTTTAAAGATAATGGGCGCACCATCACTATCACTGCTGAACATTATTTTTCAATGTTGGAAGAGTTTTTTGAATCTTAACTGGAAGTACTAAGTAAGGCAAAAAATTGGGGAGATGTCTGATTCCAGCAGGACGGTGCTACACCCCACACAACTCGAATTTCAATTGGAAAATTGAGATAAATAGTTCCCGAGCGCCTGGTTTCTCCGAGGGCTAATGTATAGTGACCTATGCGCTCACTAGATTTAGCATTTGTGACTTTTCTTTAGATATACTTAAAGGAAAATGTTTTTAAACATTGTTCACACACCCTGGAAGAACTTAAGGAAAGATTCAGGGAAGAAATTATGGTTATACCTATCCATCTGAATGTGCCGAAAAGCAATGACGGCGAATAGGGGGGCCTGGGTGGACCACTACCCCACCCAAATTTGTCTTGGCCACCCTTGGTCACCTAACCATAAAAGAAAACGAAGACATTTTCTTTAAAAGAACAAATTATAAAATTAAAATTCTTTACTTCTATATGGCAACAATTTATTTTTTTTGTTGACCGAATAAAATATGAATAATTCTTTGAGTTATGATCATGATCCTCACAATTCACAAAATGATGTTATCAAATAAAACAATATTGTAATAATTGTGGTTATAAATTATTATTATTATAAGACCGTAGCTATGCTCTCTGGTTATTTTATCAATGGGTTGTTCAGTAGTAGGCTATTGTATACATAATGCACAGACTTCTAAATTATAGAGTAACCATAAAGATGTAGAGTACTCTATGTTTTAAACTAGACACTATACTATAGAAGTTGTTTTATTATTATTGAACCAATTAGTATTAAATAAAAATAACCGTAAATTAAAAGGCCAAAAGTTTGCTCAAAAAAATAAATTTTAAATTTATGTACTTATTATTTTTCAATAATTTGTTATCTCATATACATGTAGTTTATTTATACTTGCAGGATATTAAAGCAGGTATAACTAAAGCTATGGTATTAATTGAAACAACAAAACAGTTTTTAAATGATCTAAGAAATGAAATCCCTCATAAAAAATTGTTAATGAAACAAAAACTTTCTATAAAACTAAATATTGATTTACCTTCTTCAGAAAAAAAAAACCCTACTTGTTTGGTTAAATGTGTATGTGAGACAAAAAATATAGAAAATGAACAAAACTTAACATCTGAAAAAGAATTTCGTTCTAAAATATATTATTGCATTTTAAATCGAGTAATAAATGAGCTAGAAAAAAAATTTAATAACAATTCAGATATTTTGAATGGTGTAAGTTCATTAGACTCTAAATCTAAATTATTTTTAAATGTTTCATTATTATTGTCTATAATTGTGAAATAAAGACTTTAAAATCAAAGTTACAAATTCTATCGAAATCATTACAAAACTATGAAAATAAATTTACAACTAAAATAAACAACATCTTTCATTTATACGACTTTCCAAATGAGTATCAAATTGTATTTTCCCAACTGCATAAACTTTGTTTGATATCTATTAAAGTTCCTGTTTCTTCAGCTGGATGTGAGCGAACATTTTTTAGTCTTAAAACGGGGAAAAAAACTATCTCAGAAATAAATTAACGGATTCTCATATGTCAAATTTGAGTGTGATAGCCATTGAATAATTAGAGGCCAAAAGTCTAAACATTGATAACATTATTAATGAATTTGCATCATTGCATCAAAACTGTTGAATTATTTTAATTTAACATAATTTATAGTAACACTATAAATCATAATACATACAAATTATATATAATAGAAACTAGTGAATAGTAACAAGAGTGTGTAATAAGACAGAAAAGTATCCATCATATGTTTGTGACCGTACACCAAATTAAAGTAAATAAAAGTTAATATTATATAGTCTTTAATTTATCATGATTATGTATATTTCTTTTTAATTAAAAATATAATTATTGTATAGTGTTTAAATGTGTAAATAAATTTTTTATTATACATTATCACTAACAATTAGTATCAATTATTATACATAACATTTCATATAATATTATGCTTATGACTATTTTCCTAGTAACTAGATTTTGTATTATTTAGTAAGTAACTAAGGCAAACAAAAATTATATAACATATAATTAAACTATAGTATTATATACTTATTTAGTTATCATTTTTTTTTTTTTCATTTAAATATAAATGTATACATGTATTAACTCAAAAACAAATGTAATTTGTGTATTATATAATAAAGTGCACGTTTTTAATGTAAATTTGTTGAAAATAATATCATTATAATAATATAATTTTTAAACGTGTAATTAATATACTAGTGTATTATTATGATATTTATTATCAATTAAAATGAAAACCAATTATTATGCGTACCATTTTAAATAAATTACAACTAATAACTTGTAATGTGAAAACTTAATGTATGCAACACAATCTTTACAATAGGTAATGTGTTAGTACCATTCCCTTATTGCTGCGCCTATGGGCGGGGAAAAGACTACGGATTGGGACATTTTTTGGTCCTACCAAATTTTCAAAGGCCCCCAATTGCTTCCCCCCGCCCTCAGATAAAATTCCTGGCGCCGCTACAGCCGACGAGCGGTTGAAAGCTTCCAAAATCGCTTTCAAGAAATCATATCGCTGCTGACGACCGCCATTTCAAAAACTTATAAAAAACTAAAAAATTAAGTATTAACTTTAAAACTTCATGTAAATAACTAGATTGTCTACGTTCAAACACGAAATGTTACGCGGGCAACTCCGCCAGCTCACTAGACACGCCCAAAATTCTTTTTCGCTTTTCCCTGTTACCAACCGGCCGTCGGACGTGGTTATTTTCAATTAAAATTGCCCGAGTGAGCGCGGCTTAACACTTCGCGTTCAAACGTTTGTAACTTCAAAACTAAGCCGGATAGCCTTATACCGACTTCAATAAAAAAAAACTCTGGTATCAAAATCTCAATAATTACAAATAATAATAATAATAATTAAAAAAAAATGTCAATTTTTGACCACATTTCGGATGAATTCCAAAAATGCTATTTTTCAAGGTTTATGCACAAAAACTATAAAAGTATTTTTTTGATATGTGTGTTTTGATTATACCAATGGATTAAGCATAAAAAAAACCAAATTTAAAAAAAAAAAATTTGAAAATATTAAATTCTAACTAAGAAATACGTGAACCAGAAAACCCGAACTGTATGAAGTATTCCCTCATAAGTTCAAAACGAAGTTCGTCGGCCTTGATTTTTTTTAATATTCTTAATGTACAAGTAAAACCACACATTTTGAAAAAAAAAAAAAACTGAACAAATTGCATGGGCGCTAAACTAGATTTGTTTCAAAATAATAATCATTAGATATTATTCAAAATAAACATCCAACAATTAATAATACATTTGTTTGGATAAATTATAAGTTTATAACTAATAAATAATAATTTAGTTAGAAATTGGAATATGAAATTGTGAGAACTATATAATAAAGGTTGAAGTTGCATGACGTAATAAATTATAGCCTTTTGAGTTTATTAAACACTTAAATACCGATAATCCGTAAATTACTTTTTGAATTCGATATTTCGATTTATTTTATCGCGGAAAAATGTACAAGTTTTGTTTCATACAATCACAGCCATATTAACTAATTAAACTTATTAAAGTTAATATGTCTATGCGTACAATTGTAATTCATACCGTGGCGGCGTGGTTTATGGTATACACGCCAATGTCTATAGTTTACATGGTATACCAGTTATCACTTATCAGTACTAATTATTGGATAATGGATTGTCAATTGACAAATGACTTGACAGTAAATTGACACGAATCTTACGTTTTTTTTCAATGTACTGATTCAGCAGTTCTTTGCTATTATAATAATTTAATTTTAATAATTGAACGATGCGCGAACGAAATATTATTTTCTCGAGTTGGTTTAGTGTAATTTAGAACGCGAATTTGTTTTCAAAATGATAATGACGTGACCTTGTTATCTTAATACTAGCAAATATCGTACATCCTCAGTACATTGTTTTTGATTCCAGTATCTTTGATACCTGAATGCCCGATGCAGTAGCTGGTAATATAAGAACAATTTTCAGGACAGTTAAGAATTCTTGCGTTGTTTTATTTTAAAATAATATTTTTTTAATTGTGTTTATCGTCTAATAACAATTTAAATATGAATTTAACTACCAAATATTCGGCGAAGAAGTTGGGCACGCACAATGGACAATTTCACTGTGATGAAGTTTTCGGTTCGTATATGTTGAAATTGTTATTTCCAAACTTGGATATTATTCGTACGAGAGACGAAGAATTGTTGCGTGAGTGTGATATAGTAATTGATGTTGGTGGGGTTTATGATCACGAGAAATGCCGCTATGATCACCATCAAAAATCGTTTACTCATTCCATGAGTTCTCTAATGCCTGATGCTAAATGGACTACAAAATTAAGTAGCGCCGGTTTAATATATTTACATTATGGCCATGAAGTGTTGAACAAAATTATAGCCTCTGATATACCAGAAAGTAAATTGAAATCTATTTATTTTAAAGTTTATGAGAACTTTGTACAAGAAGTGGATGCTATTGACAATGGTATTCCAATATGTGAAGGTAAAATTAATTATTCTATAAACACAGATTTGGCTAGTCGAGTGAGTACCCTTAACAAAAAGTGGAACCATGTGGGAGAATTCAATGAAAATAAGGCTTTTGAACAAGCAATGAAACTGGTTGGATCTGAATTTGAAGAAAATGTACAATATGCATATCATACATGGTTACCTGCCAGGTCTTTGGTAATTAGTGCACTGGATAAACGATTCCAAACTCATAAGTCCGGCCGTATACTTGAGTTAAGCTCACCATGTCCGTGGAAAGAACATTATTTTTTGTTAGAAGAAGAACTCGGTAATGATCTTAATCCGAAAATTGATTATGTTATTTTTCAAGACGTTTCTAATAATTCATGGAGAATACAAGCTATGCCAATTTCTGTTGATTCGTTTGAGCTTCGAAGATCATTGCCTAAGAGTTGGTGTGGTCTTAGAGATGATGAATTGAGTACAATATCTGGTGTACAAAATTGCGTTTTTTGTCATATCAATGGATTTATTGGAGGAAACAAAAGCCGTGCTGGAGTGATAGAAATGGCAGAAAAAGCTATTGGATTGTAATTATATTTAATATTCAATAATAAATGATAAATACATTTTTTTTTTTTTTTTTTTTTTTTTTTTTTTTTTTTTTTTTTTTATTTATTTTTTTTTTATGTCAAATGTGTGTAGCATGTTATAACAAGTTAGTTCAAACAATACTAATGTTTTCATTTAAAGCTTACAGCAATATTTTATATTTATTTTTTCTAGGATTTATTAAAATAAGTTATTTCTATGCATATTTGCATTTTTATAAAAAAAAAAAATCAAGTTTTAAGTTATTTTATTTTATTGATATTTATATTTTATAATTCATAAGACCAATATAGGCACCACACAATGTATAATGATACACATTTATAGTTACTATAAATGTGTAGCTATAACTATAGTTCATATATACTTCAATAAAATAATGAGTATTAATACTAAGCGTTATATTTTTTTTTTTTTATTAGGTTTCTTTTTTTATAACTATTATAGTATAATTGTAAGAAGGATCTTAGAACAAAATCAAATTGGGTTAATAGTGCTTAAAGAGAATAATACAATTTTGTATTATAAATAAAAATACTCTTTATAATGTCCATTCTACTTATGATTAGTACAAAAAAAAGTTATTTGTGTTTGTAATGACAATAACTTTACTTGTATCCTAACCTTATGTAGTACAAGTTCTTATTTTATTTATTGAAAATTTGGTTTTTTGATATTTAGTCTTATCACCAGAAGTGCTTTGCCCTCAAAAATAGTGTTTACATTCAAATTGTTGTAGGTACCTAATACACAGAACATTTTTAGGATCCTAAAAACTACATTATTATGTGCCCTCTAATCTTACTCACAGTCAGTACAATTCTGATTGCAAATAAAATATACTTTTAGTCTTTTCAAATTAATTTTTTAAAGATTTACTTAAATTCTGTTAAAAAAAAAAAATTAAACAGACATTTTTTTCAGTTTATATACCTAATTTATTTTAACATTTTAACATTTTACATTTGTTCAATAGGTCATCAACAGCAAACACTTCTCAATTTTTGATTTACAAATCACAGCATGGGGGTGCCCTTTCCTGTAAATGAAGGGTAGTATATTTTATATCCATTTTAAATGATAGCCCTTTCATACTCATCCAGTCTAATTTTTAAACTGTTGTAACTCATCAAATAGTACATCTTAAATTGAACCGCTGAGTGATAAAAGAATACTATACTAAAAATACAAAAAATAAACTAAGTTAACCATTAAGGGTTTTCATATTTTAGGAAGTTAAAGGTTATGTACTAGTTAATGTTTGTTGTACAGACAAGTTTTTTTTTTAATTTTCCAATAGTTATGTATTGATGAATATTATCTTTTTTCCACTTAGCGATTCAATTAGCGTCATGTAATTATACCACAATTTTTAGACAAATATCTTCTTTTTGAATCTGGTAAAAAACAGAGGGTTCAAAATCAAAGGTTAATATGTGTTTATAGTGTACAAAATAAATGTACAATTTTATAAATATTTTATATTATACAATTATTAATTATAATATTCTATAATGGATGAAAAAAACCAAAATCTTTGTTGAAAAATACTGGGTCATGATAAAAAAATCACTTGGTATATATAATATTATTTTAGGGTATCCCTATGAAAATATAAACTAGTTTTTCAAATGAGAAACTTTATTCCCTAATAAATTATTTTGTACAACTCTTTAACTATGTTTTATTCAAGTTTTCATTTGAGTATAATATTATGAAATATTTCAGAAAAACTAGCCAACCAATTATTTGCTTACAAAAAATTGTGTTCATTTTTGGAAAAAAAACTTTACAAAAAACAAGAATACTTATGTGTAATTAATTAAAATATTTTAAATTATCGTGTTTATAAATTTCTTAAAAAGATAATTTTAATAAATCCAATATTTAATCAAAACAAAAATGGGATGTGTATTTTTAGTTTTTATATTATCCTATTATTATTAAAGTTGTGTTTAGTGTTTTGAAATTATAACCAATTGAAGTCTCAATTCAATATTAAATGTATGACTTTGAGAATAATATATTCACATATTAATGTGGAGTGGATGAATTTAGTTGACATGTTTACAATAATTAATATTTAATACATTTAATTTCAAGTAGGTATGTTGGTACACTACAGAAGAGTGTGACTTTTTAAATATTACCATTAATCGTTGAATGTACACATTTTGTGTACATATTATAATGTTAACAATTTTATATTGGCAATAATATATTAATATAATGGCCATAATATTATAATAATATAATGGTAATAATATTTCAGTAAAACACATTTTTCATCATTGCCTTTCTATACTAAATGCTATCATATAGGTACCATGCAATTAATTATTCTTGATAATGATTAATCATAATATTTATATATTTTTTTTTTTTAGAAGAATTTAAAACTTGCATGCCAGTAAAACTGATCGGATTATTTTGTTATAGTAAAATATAACTGGTGTTCAATGTTCTGATTATTTTCAATACCTTAATTCAGTAGGTACATTTAATTTTTTACTGTATTTTTGGAATTTAAATATTCTATTAATTCATATTTGGTACATTTATTTTTTTCTTTGTTTAATTTATCTTCTAGTCTATACCATTAAATCTTGTTAATTTTAATATATTTGTTTCTGTATACGTAGGTACTCATTTAAAAATTGTAATATTTTTAACATTATCAATTAAATACAAAGGTAAGACAAATGCCAGTAAACATTTCCATTTTTATTTTAAACTATTTAAAAATAACAGATTAATAATTAAATACCAATGTATAATTCTAATTCCAAGATATTGAAATTTATTAAATATCATATTTAATTATAGTGTTTATCATGATAATATATACATACCTAAGAATCTACCTTACCTTGTATCTAAAAAGTATAAAATAAGGATTAAGAATAAATGTATACTATTATAACTATCCACTAAACAAAAATATATTTTATTGACCATTAAATATAATTTAGTTTAAAATGACTGTAGCAATATATTATTTCAAAACAAAGAATGATTTTGAAGGCGATCTAGGTTTAACTTTTTTTCTAAGTAAATATTTAATATGTTATTAACGTTTAATTTCAAATTATTTTGTACTTTTTTGTTTTAAAAAATTTGAACTTCAAACACTGCTAGAAATAAACAATTATGTTTTTAAATGTGATTCAACGTTATATAAAATACTATTCAAATTGCATTGTGTCTAGAATAAGTTCACATATAAACAATTATTTCTTACCTATTGAATGATAGATATTTTTGTTAAAACAATTTTTTTCTAAATTATTGGAAACCTTTTTTTAAAAAATTAATTTAAGTTTGATATTTAATAAAGGAAAATATTTAAATAGTTTAGTTTAGGTTTATATATAAGTAGTTATAAATTTGATTTGATTTATTAATTTAAACAAATTATTTAAATAATAATTTAGGTTTAATTTAATATCAAAAGTTAAATGGTTATCTTATTATAAGCCAGATAATAATATATTGTTTCTATATTATATTTAGAGATTTATTTAAAGAACCAGTAGATGGCATGTTGGTGGCTGCTACAATTGCTGATACTGATCATAAGAAAGAAATTGTTGGTAACATAACAATGGAACAATTACCTAAAATGGAAACAGGTTAATTATTTATGCACCTATTTTATTTGCTTCAAGTTTTCGGGGGGAGGGGGTAGAGGAGTTGAGTTGAATAATATTTGTTTTTGTATCACTATAAATTTTTTCAAATTATATATTGTAATGCATGTAAACATTATTATGGTTTATTAGGTTATTTTTATTAACTTTTAGATGTTGTAAAAGTCAATAATGACATAGAAATCCCAAACCATAAAGTTCACATTGGTATGAGTGATGGTGGTATTAGTAGCACACCAAGTACATCTCTTCCACCTTCTACAACCCTACTAGATCAACCAAATACATCATATTCACCATCATATTCCTCAATAAATTTTCCGTACGTATTTTCAACTACTTTTGTTAAAACTATATGTTAACAGCAGCTTTTCTTTTTAGGGCCATACCTAATTATAACCCCACATCACCAGATTACAGCTCTTCATTAAAATACTGGCCTACATTACCATACTACACATCTACATCACCATCATACAGGCCTTCATTGTCAACACACAGACCTATTTCACCAGAATACAAACCTATATCACCGATAAACGGATCAGCATCGTCGACATACCTGCCTGGATCACCATCATTCAGACCTTTATCACCAGAATACACGTCTTCATTGCCAATATATAGACCTTCATCGCCAGAATACACGTCTTCATTACCGATATATAGACCTTTATCACCAGAATACAGACCTACATCACCAGAATATAGGCCTGTATCACCAACATACATACCTTTATCCTCGGGATACAGCCCTTTATCCTCGGTATACAGTCCTAAATTAACAGAATACAGATCTGTATCACCGACATACAGATCTACTTCACCATCATGCTTTCCTTTTTCACCAGAATACAGCTCTATTTCACCAGAACACAATCCTACATCATCAACATTCAGTTCTACAATACCAGAATATAGATCTACATCACCAAATTACAGTCCTTCATCACCGTCATACCAACCTATGTCATTGGCAAGTAAATCTACAACACTAGATACATCACTGACAACATACAGATATACATCATTGGAATACAGCCACACATCGCTGACATACACATCTACATCACTAGAATACAGTTGTACACAGACATCACTGGAACATAGACTTACATCACCGGAATACAGACCAACTACACCGGAATATAGACCTATATCACCATCATATATGTCTACATTACCAGAATACAACTCTCTATCAGCAGAACACAGGCCTACATCACCAGGGTACAATCCTCTATCAGCGGAATACACGTCTACATCACCAGAACTCAGCTCTTTATCAGCGGAATACAGGCCTACATCATCAGAATACAGCTCTTTATCAGCGGAATACACACCCACACCTCGTAAGATTCGTAAATTTATTTAACTAAAGTAAATTGTTTTTTCATCTTAGTTTGTAGTTTTGTTAAATTATATTCGTTATACGTAGTTTTTGCTTATTATATTATATACAAAACATATTAGAATAACCAGAACGTCTAGTTTAAGTACCTACCTACTTAAAACATGATATATAAAAATCTTGATACACAGATTTTTTTTAAAAAAATTAATTATTTGTATTTAAAATAAACATTCCATGACAAATATCTCATCCAAAATTTAATATCAGTGATGCAAGAGAGTCTTTTATCAAACATCAACATTTTATATTTAAAAAAATAAATCTCAATTAAATATGATGACATACCTGACACTTTTACTTTTTGAAAAATTACTATAAAGTTAAGCTCGTTTTCGATTTTTTTTACATAATATGTGTTTTAAGTTATTGAATTTAAGTGTTTGAAATAATTGTACCTTTTTTTATTCTATATGTGACAAAAAATAAAAAAAAACAAGTTATTTACATTTACTAGAGTTTGCATTAAATATTATTTCTGTGTTTATAAATGTACATTTTTTTATAATATGAAACATTGATTCAACGATAGATATTGAAATTGATGTTGATAAAACATAGTCACAATCAACATTTATATTTTTATATAAACATGGAAATATATGTAACTTATACATATAATAAAGGTATTAATAATATTAATGATTTAGATTTTGGCTATAGATCTCAAACACTAAGAGGTTTAATATTTCCTAACCTGTTGTAATCATATTCATTCATCACACCATTTTCTATTACCCCCATGAGTGCAATAGCAGATCTAAGGAGGGCCCAAAATCCTCAGACTCTCCCAGAGGTCCTGTAAACTGTACAATACTTTTATTTTCATAAATAATTAAATGTTTAATGCATATATAATTAAGATTTTCAAGGAAGGAAAGTGGCGCAATGAGTGTATATTGATTGTATGATGTATTTTTATTTTTTTTCTGACAAGATTTTTACCAAAAGTCCTACATATAATAAAAAATAAATTAGCAATGGTTTCATTGCTTACAGACATATTAAATAACCTATGTGTCCTACCTTCTCAACTTCTATCAACAACAGTGGTTGCATCCATCCCCATATTACCTGTTTTATTTTTATTTTTTGCTTTGTAGTAATTGTTTTTAGGAGGCCCCCCAAAATTCCATTCTGAATCCGTCACTGCGTGGGAGGGCTATAATATGTTGACCCGGTAATGCTTTTCTATTGCTAGATACTAGTGTAAATAATATTAATAATAATAGTTTTCTTGTTCATGGTAACCTAAGTGTCATTCAGTCACCAAGGTAAACTATGAATAAACAAAAATAAAAATATAAACAAATAGATAGTTTAACAAAAATACCTAAAATCCCCATTTTAGCACCCTTTGAGGTTTCATTTTCAAAAATTCTACCTTATCGTATGCCTACGTCTTAATAGCTATTTATATGCCAAATTTTCATCTACTGGTTTAGGCTATAGGTGACGAATCAGTCAGTCAGGACATGTTGTTTTATATAATATAATATAGGCTAGACAGTAGACATGAATTACAAAATACAAATGTTTAATTAAAAACTGTGGAGTTATTAGAGAAAAGAAATTGAGTGTACAATTTTACATAATCATGAAATTATACAGGTAAATTAATCGTTGAAAATATGTTTAATATATAATTGTATTATAAATTGCATCACAATTTTTATCTGGATTGTATGTACGCCGCACAGTAAGCGTACGATTAATCGGAGAATACGAATTAGATTACATATAATCAGTGCCGTAGCCAGGGGGGTACGTACTTTCACCCCTTTCTTTTTTTTATTCGTAATATTTTAGTGTAGTTTACTTAAATTCATTATATTAATAAAACGTATTATTGGTAGTACTATAGTAATAAAGTAGTATTATAAAATATGTTTTATACCATTATGTATACTATATATGAATCACTAATTTCAGAAGGGGACACGTCCAACTTCTGACAAATCCGGGAGTTATTTTTGGATTTGTAATTATCTACTTTGAATACATATTTTGTGTAAAAATAATTGTAGTCCGTCAACTCGTTATAGAAATATCAACAGCTAAAGTAAATGTTGAGTGCAGAAAGAGGACTACAAGTCCAGGACATGTCCCCTTTCTCCAATTAGTGATTCTTATATAATTATAATGTCTTACATGACTGTAAACTTTGTTTTAATTTTACGTTGTAAAACTAAGGAGGTATAAATAATAAGAGATAAGGGAATAAGGAAATCATAAATAACAGGTGATAAGTATTCTAGCTTGGCAAAAACTAGATAAAAAATTAAGTGCTCCTCCCCGGAAATTTTTTCTTACTTCGATACTGCATATAATATTATAATATACCTATATGAAATCATATTATAATTTGCAGGCCTATGATATTAGCACACATTGGCATCAAGATATAATACAAATTAAAAGTATAGAACCAGAGTGCTGTCGATGTTTTATTTTCTGTAAGAAATAATTTTCTCAAATAATCAGTTTAACACAGAAGTTACTTCATAAATTATAATTTTGTCAACACTTGTATTATCATTTATTAGTAAATAATATTGCTTTACTTTACTTAACTTTATTTTTGGGAAAAACAAATAACAATTTGTAATACCCAAATTTATATTTACTTAAAAAAACAAATGTTTAGCAAGTTTATACAATAATTTTAAAAAAAACATTTCACTGAAGTCACATGGTTTACGTTTTATTCGAGATTTGCCTCAAAAACTTATAAATGCTGTTTTGATCGAACGGACACAGTCTGTAAGTCATACCGCATTCTCCGTTCCTCCCTGCTTCCAATGCCGTTTTAAATCTCGATCCGTCGATCATGAAATTCATTATGGAATTGCTATTTACATAACATAAATACATAACATTATTATACTACTTATAAATGGGAAATTAATGCATTTTTAAACGGATAAGTATACAATGTGTTAAATTGACGAAGGCGTATGTATATGCTCGTACTTTGTTATCGTATTTAATGTGCTGTCCACAAAATGGTTGATTCCCGATTTTTCATTGACTTGTTCCGTAGACTGTACGTAAGTACACAGCGCCTTTTGCATACACTCCGTAGTGTTAATATTATATTTGGCCATGGAGTCTTCAAACTTTGCGGCCAAACCGTTTAAACTTGACATCATTTCATCACCTAAGTATCAACAGTAATATTATTTAAAATAGGCGTACATTTTATAATTTTAACTACACACACAGTAATAATTGGATGAGTTATAGAAAATTCTAGAATAAAATGAAATATTATTACCAGATTTTAACGAATAGTTAACTCAGAAATCATAAATAAAAATGAATCTATATATATATAGATATATGTAGAGAGTTTATTATTGTGTTAATCAATAGTCAAAAGGAAGTCGAAGAAAGGGGGAAAAAACAAAACCATTAAATAATTGAAACAAACAATTATTTCTATTGTTTTTACTCACTCCTTCTGTATCCGCCAGAGTAACCACCGTTCCCGGCCGGATGAGCTCCAAAAATATTGGTTGTCGAATAAAGAATGTAAAGAATTTTCGGGATGAAAATTAAAATGCCGAGTCCAATTACAGCGCCCACAATTAGGCCTCCTACGTCGATTTTCTGGGATCCGTAGCCAGTGACCGAACTACCTTGGTATCCCTTAAAAACAAAATAAACATGTAATATATTTTTGATAAATTGCGACACGAATGATACGCTATATATTAATTTTTTTTTTTTCGTTATATTTTAAATTAGCATAACATAACATTAATAATGTACATATTATGTCCTACTTACTCCCATTCCACTCGGTGGCGATACGCCGCTCAAAGATGACGGTATGTACCCGAATCTGGCCTCGTGCGACCGTCCAGCGTTTGTTTTGTTGTCGTATTGTTGTACGCCTTCGAAATATGTCACAGGACTCGGGAGCACGCCGCTGGAAACCGATATTCGTTTTTTAATTTTTAAATTCTATACACGTAATTCGTTTTTACATAAAACTACAACAAATAAACAACCGGGTACCAACATTGAGAACTGTATACTCTACGGGTAAGTTAGGTCAGTAAAACGCCGTAAAATTATCTTATAGGCATCTAAAATTAGTCTAACCATATATTTTGAAATTTCGAGCACTCGAATTATTTAGTGTTTCCTGTTTAGCTTGACGACTCTTGTTAGTGGAAACGCGCACACGATTTTCTCCAAAATTATTCTTCCGGTTTTATATTGTTAAGTAACAAGTATATATAGCTTAATGGTTGTGCAATCGATAAAGGACAACATGTACGTTGCCAAATTGAAAATGATGATATAGACGTACTTTGTCACGGGATTTTAATATTAACATCTTAATTTATAAAAATCGCAACGAAAAATGGTTAAAAACCATTGAAAATTGTGTACCTATACTGGATTATTAGCCGTGGCAATATTATGTGCCGACATACTTATAATATTATTTTATACAATGAAATCCCCGACGGGCAACCGTCAAGTCGAATCTTTAACCAATCGAAGTAAATCAACAAATTATTATAGATTGGTATAAATGCAAAGATGTTGGTGTGGACAAATGTAACCAAAGGAAAAACAAAACGGGCGAAATGGGTGCCATAATAAAATTGAAATCCGCGAGATTTTAAGGTGAAAAAAAACGCCGACCGCTTCAACGAAATACAGGCAGCGATGAAAGCGACAGCGAAAACTACGAGGAAAATGATCGCCGAGTGATTATGGGAAAACAATAACCTCGGGAATACGGACTATGATGCAGGGAGTACTTTCAAATATAGAGGTAACAATTTTTTAAGAAGATCTTCAAGACCTTAAATCGGCATTTTTATAACAAGGTAGGCAGGTCGAATTTCGCCTTTGAGTTTCGACGGTAGATCATAATGTTTTGGACCGCATCCTGTACAGGGTATTCCTCATGGGTGTATCCATTGTAATATCTCCGGAGATAATAAATATAGTCAAATCCCGTTTTTTTCTTTTCTTTACATTACTCACTTTTATATTAGCCCTTTTCCCCAAGAGTAATATAAATGAAAACCGGAATTTGATTATTTTCGATATCTCCGGAGATATAACAATGGGTACATTCGTGGGAGACGTCCCGTATGCGTGCACCTGTACGCGTATGTGTCATGACGAAAATATTATACTCACTCGGACGGCATTTCGAACGCGTTGGGCAGCGCACAGACGGCCAAATGAATCAACGGAAAAACGCGGAAGACGAGCGACGTCTCGAATGCCTGGATGAGAAAAAACAAAACAAAAAAACCGAATTTATTTTGGAACAATAATGCAATAAATGAATAGAAAAAATGTTAGTTAAAAAAAAAAAAACGCGCGTTTTATTTACCATGATGCCACGGAACGGTCAGGTACCTGTGTGTATAATATTATAATATTTGAAATTTAAAAAAAAAATAATAATAATAATAACGTCGCGTTCACTGTCGTTTTCGGACGGTCGTGCGGCGGGTACCGTTGTGTCTGGAAAATTCGGAAACGTCTCGCGTATATATGGTGTCGGGCGGGAAAACAATGTGCGGATGTCGCACAGGTGGGAACGCGTGCGGAAAGTGAAAATTGTCGTGGGTAATAACGAGCAATTATTGTTGTTGTAGTCCCGTCGCGGGCAAGTGCCGGCGAGTGCGTATTGTCGGGGGCCGTCGATGAGCGACCGTTTTGTGTGCAGGCTCCGGAGTTTTCGGCACAATACAAACACAATAATATTGTTATTATTATTATTAGATAAGAGTAATTAAATGTGTTGTTACGTTCGGCGGCGTGTTACTCAACGAATTTCGTAAGTGATTTTTATTCGTCAGGTACTGGTTGCACCCTATCTCATTATTCTAGGACGTATTTTTATTTTTGAGAACTACTTATGCGTTTTTATATTTCGATTTTTGATTATTTAACAAAAAACCATGATAATCTCGTCACAGTAATATTATGTTTTATAATTTTCGTCTTTATAACTGGCAATATATCAAAAATGTGTTTTCAGGATTTCAACGATAGGTTGACCTACTTATATTCCGACCGTAATAGATTTAAAACGAATATTTGGAGTTTAAGTGAGGTAGTATTAATCGTGTTTTTTCTTTATTGCCAAAGTATCTACCTAACCCAGACATTAAAAAAATAAGGATCTAGGTGATTAACTACTAGAAAATTCGATAAATGCTTCAAACTAATTACCACCGAGTTGAAAAAAATTGGAAAGTTTGTAACAAAAATGTTAACAAAAAAAAAAAAAAAAGGAAGTATTTTGATTTTGAAAATACGTTTTAAATACATATAGCCAACTATCAAACGAAATATCCGTATCTTATAAGGCTTGATGTACGAAAAATCAGAACATCATTACTAATCGTAAAAGTGTTTTCCGAAAAAAAAAAAAATTCGCATTTATATAAAACTAATCGTTATACTCCGAATCTAAAACAGGAAAATTGTATTATAGGTGTAATATAAAAACATACAATTTATAACTACAAACAAAATAATGTACTCGTGTTAATTCATTTTTATGTTATAATATTGCTATAGGGATTTTAGTTGAATTATTACAATAATATTTCAATGTTGCGTACCTAACATTATTCCAAAAACATGGAGATTCGTATTTTCGTAAGTTTCAGCTTTCTGAATATTATATTTATGTACCAAAAATGTGTGGAAACTAGCCACGTTAAAAACGCCGGTTCCCCGTTGGTCGTAAATGTATTGAAAGTTTTAAAACCAATAGATTACGGTTATCGGATTATTATTACAGACCCGAAACGATACAGGAGAAATCACAAAAATATCACAAAAATAGAAGATAAACAAGAAAACGTGAATAATAATAATATGCCCGGAGATTGTCACAATAATTTAAATTGGCCAGCAGTACGGATGAAAAATGTGATAATAACACCTACGGAAATGCACGGCGAACGTAAAGTAAAAATAAAGAGAGAATCGGTATATTTAAAAAGTAAGATACTTACTACATGAATATAATACCTATTACATATTTCCGTTGGCCCATATTTCTCTCCTGCCTTTAAATTGTTGAAAACAAAAAACTTATTTTTTGTGTATCTCGTCAAACACAGTAAATAAAGATCAAACCAGGCATTGGAATTACGTTCAACGCGCCTTGGTGCGTGTAAAATGTATTTACATGAGATTTAGTCCTGTTATGCGTGGCTTATCTCTCTACCTTATCAGCAAGTACCTTAATTTATACCTCTTCCGGATTCATATCTGATCAGTGGTTTACCACTGGTCATACATGGGTATGATTTTCTTAGGATTATTGTACTGCCGAAGAGGTATGATTTTTCTTGGCATTAAAATCCTGTGATACAGGTATACCGATGTTGGTTGGTAGAGATTATTCGGTCTTTTTCAGTTCCAATTTCATTTATTTAGGTAACAATTAGTTTTATTGTATTTGATTGATGGGGTATCCAAGGATTCATAACTGTTTATGTCAATAATGTGTTTATTTTGTTTTGTTTTTATTTTTTTCTGTAGACAAGTTTTCTTTCAGTAATTTCGTTCCAATTTTCAATTATATTGAATTTATTATATTATGTTTTCAATTTTTACTTTTTCTGAAAGGAAATCAGACTTTGGTGGTGGTTTAGGGAAGCCATTTTTTTGATTTTCCCAGCTGTTTCCATAATAAATGTGAAAAAACGAAGGGAGAACGAGAAAATAGGTATAATATTAAACAAATATTGTAAAGAAAATATATTATGCATATGTATTTTACCATAATATGACAGATATTGTTGACAAAGCAATATAGTGATATTAACCGAACTCCGCACAAAATCGTTTTTCGTTAGCAATATGGTTAATCATTACGTAAAGATATACATTAAATTTCCCCCTGTACGACCTTCCCAACTTCTCACCTACAACAGTGGCCCACCTACATCGTGCAAAATATGTCCGTATATTTTTTGAACGTGTTTTGTTAAGTTTTGTGTGGATAATTGACGTGCATCAAGTATAATTTATTTAAAATAGATAACATTGACCAAATAAACTACGGAAATTTTAACATGTAGGTACTTTAGGCAATGATATCGTTTCCTTACCATATTAGGAATTGTCATAATTTCCTAAACTTATCAACATTTCCGGGTAATATTATGTACAATGCTACAATATACCAAGTGCTTGATTTATTTTCATTTGGTAATTTGTTTGCTTTATTTTTTTCTAACCCCGGTTTTGACAGTGCCGGCAACGATGGCGGCGGTGACGCCCGTTTGGGATTTCGGCGGCACGTGGTCGTCCGAATTGGCCGGGGTCCGGTTCAACATGGACTCCAGCATCACGGTGGGTGTCGACAATAACATACCAGTGAAGATACTGCAGGACGGAAAGAGGCTGATCGGTTTTTTAAATAATAAGGACTGGATGGCCAAAGCAAACGCTCAGTACGGTCGTTACGGTCCGGTCACCTTATTTGCCATAAATCCGTTGGAAAAAAACGTGGCCGTGTTCGTAGGTATAAATCCTCGCAGATTTGTTGGTGATTTTGAAACGTTTGAGACAATTTTCTCGAGACGTACAACTGTTACTTGGCATACTAAAACGGATAGGTTTTTTGGTATTCTTGTGTATAATGTAGATACCCATATTATTACTATTTGTTCATATCGATCGCGTCATAAAACAGATGGGTCAGCTTGGAAATGAACTGGGAATATAATACTTCAGCCCGGGTCATTTTTTCAGCATATCATCAATTTTTTTTTTTAAAAAACAGTAAAAATGATCAATAATTGACTGTGTTATGTAAATATTTTTGAAACGAAACCACCGGAAATCATCTTGTCAGCTGTTATATAATACGGGATCGTAAGAAAAACACGATGAAGTGCCATATGATGTCTATTTTCGAGGAAAATTCGAGAAAAAACAACGACTGAGTCGATTTATCGTGACGAATACGAATTTTCACATTCATAAGACATTGTCATCAGACACGATATCACTGTTTTACTGAACCAAGCAGTATATTATACAGGGTACAGACGTACTAAATGCGTTCAGAAAGTCATTGGTGAAACCCTAAGCGCTATTCGCATCGTGATTTTATGATCGTTCCCGGTTTATTTATTTTATGCCTATGTGACGGTCTCATTGCCGAACCGCCGAATAAAATGCTGCAGATTATTACCTGTTCGTATTTCATATAGGAATTTTGAATCCCAACAAGATATGTCTATAAGCGTTTTAACCGAATTGTCTGTGATCCCGAATCTAATGTATAACGATACTCGTTTCGATTAAAATTGGCAACCATTTAATGTGGGTGAATACACCATATACAGTGCAAATAAATCCACGAAGAAAATTAGACGATTTTGTTTTTCACTGATTATTATTATCATTTATCAGAGCTCGGATTCTATAGCATTTACTGATTATTGTAGAATACAGATAAATATAGCAGAGTGAACTCAGCATTTGTTTTATGCACCAGAAACTATCCAAATATGAAATTATATATTGCTATTTTTTGCATATTCGAAGTATTTTTGATTTTTAGTGCTATTTTTAAATTTTTGATTCCATTTTTTGCTAATATCCATAATATAATGATATATTTTTTATTTTTTATCAGCATTAAAAAGAAATCTGTTATTTATGTGTATAAGAAAAACACATTTTCGTTTCATATTATAATTTATTTTTAAGTACCCCCTACGTATTGGCCCATCGAACAATAATCGCCATTTATGACTTTTTGTCGGTTGTATTTATAATATATTTAAACAGATCAAAAATTAAAAAAAAAAAAATACATTTTATTTTTGCAATTATTCATGTTTTTATTGTATATTATAGCTAATGTTAGGATATTTTAGGTCGTATTATAGTGCATATTTCAATCATTTTCAATGCTATAAAATCCAAGTCCTGATTATGTATTATTATTATTTTTCTACATGATAGTATGCGAATATTATGAAATATCTATATGTGTGTTGTACGGGATTTTTTCCATTTTGCTTTTAATGTATACTGATAGGTGTTTTAGTTTACGTCTATTTAAATTTACGCTCGGCGCCTTAAACGTACGAAAATATGTACCTAGTTATTAAATTATTGCTAAATAACCGCCCGTGTGTGTAGGTATTGCGAAAGAACGATAAACGCGTAACAATAATTATAATACAACAATGAGGGGTTTTTTTTTTTTTTTAGGATTTGCCCACTCGCAAAACAATAAAGACTTTGTCACCGGCGTGTGGACTATGGGAAGAAACTGTAAAAGCAATTTGGACATTCACCAGTCCGTGTTTAATATACCGGATGTTTTGTGTAGAGATAGCACTTAACAAGGCGATTAAAAAGTAGGTAAATGTACTTACATGACGTATGCATGTACAGTATAATTATTCTTACGTCGTTCATGATTCTGTGACATAACCATTAAATAAACATGTGTTTACAAAACTAATAATAATAATAATAATAATGGGATAGTTGTTTCACTCTTATTTTTAAATGATGTAGGTATATTATGGATGGTTTTATATTTATGTTTTTTTTTTAGACTCCGAACGTAGCGAGGGAGCAATTAGTTTTACTAAGATGTTTATTTTATTTTCTTTGTTCTTTGTTCTAATCTGTGGACACGTTTTTTCCTAGTAAACTTGCTTCGACTTTTACGTGTAACAATTTTTTTGAAAGCTCAAGTTGTCTAACTTGCACTTTAAAGATGGCTTTTTTTTTTGATCTTCGACGCCATTTTTTAAATAAAAACACTTAAGTGGGAAAAAACATGGGAAAACATACAATTTCACGATTTCATTATTTTATAAAAAAAAAAACAGACAAAATTTTCTACCAGAAAGAATGATTTAATCGAAAAATCAAAAGATACCTTTTCTGAAAGAAATTTTGTCTAGTTGGTACTTAAAAGATATAATTTTTTGATATTCCACGTAGTTTTTATAATAATTGAGAACTCTCAGAAAAACGTAAGAATAAACGAACAAATATTTATGTGGTTAGGTAAAGTTAGGTTCATGATTTTACATTTTTGTAATTTATGTTTTTTCCTAGAAATTTTGCTTTGATCAAAAAATGATCACAGACTTTTTTTATTGCATTTTGGACCTATAGTTGCTCATGAAAATAGTCCTTTTTTGATTTTTCAAGTAGTTTTCATAATAATTAGGACAAATCAAAAACAGAATAAACGTGAAAACTGACAGATTTACAGCGTTACGATTTCATTATTTTAAATTTGTACGCTTTGTCTTTTATCAGAAATATTGCTATAATAAAAAAACAAAATGAGATCATTGTTGTTGCATTTTTAATCTAGTTAGTGATAGATAAGAAAATTGTTTTTTGATTTTCGATGTAATTTTTTTAATAATTGAGCAAAACCGAAAAATTAGGAAAATTTACGAAAATAATGTTTTTATTATTTTCAATTTTGTTTTTATTATTGTTATTCAATTTAAAATGTACGTAGAGATTTGACATTTTTGTAGAAAATTTATATTTGCCTTTCCTAGGTGTAAAATTTTCAAATCATTTCAGCCATTTTTGAGCTATTAATAGACATTTAAATTTTGCTAGTTTTTTTACGTAATTTGTATTCGATAGATTAAAATTTGTGGATAAAATGTTTAAACTAAAAAGAAATTCTTGGAAATTTAATAAGAGGTTTATTATAATTTATAATTTGTGTTAAAAAAAAAAGTTGAGTTTAATGTAGTATTTCTTTTTTTTATTAGAATGAGAATATCAAATTTTGACAAAAATCGTAAATATTACGGTCTTTTAAATATGAATTCCACACAGAATCGTTATTCCTTAGCTATGATTAATCGTTGCATAACCATATGCATTAGATTCTCTTCTATATCCTACCTTCCCAACTTCTCGCTAACAATAGTGGCCAACCATGTGAAGTATTAAGTTACTTAATTTTAATTCAAAAGGATTGTGTAGTAGAATCAGACCTGGATAGAACGATGCAGTAAATAGATACCTACTGAATTAACAATGAATTACGAAGTTACCTTTGTCTGCTGACTCTTCGAAAAAGATCTGTTTATCAATGATGAGCCATTAATTTTCTGTAGTTTTTTTGAAGTTTATAAAATTAATTTACAAAATTGTTTTTGATAATCAATTGATATTATCAAGTATTCGTAATGAAAACAATTAAATCAATTATAATCTTAAAAATGAACATCATTAGTGAACATTTGTAATATCAACATTTTGTTTCGAAATATATTTATAAAAATATGGCCATCATGGATTTTGTAAATAATAGTTTTAAACATTTTTAATTTTAATTTTTAGTTCTAAAAAATTATAAAAATAAGAATCATAGTGCAAGGCTAGGCTTTACTGCAAAGTCTTAAGCACCTCCAAGTTTAAAATTATCATCCCCAAAAGCTCGATCATGTTTGTCATAGTAACGACTTAATATTTGATCAATGTATTTCATAATTAATAAGCAGAACTAAATCTATAAGTTTCCTACAGACAATACACGTGTACATAAAATAATGTTAAAATAGTCACGATAAATTTGTGTATATACAAAATTGTAAATGAAGTGCATAATTAATTATTGTTAGAGTCATCTAAAGGGGATTGTGGAGTATAGCCCCCTGGGTATTTAATGTGTTCATAATTTTAGTACCCCCAGAGAGATCTAGCTGCGCCTATGGACTTTAGTAGGTAATTATTCCAAAAAAAAAATAATAGTAATAAAAATAACAAAATTTAACAGAACGAAAGATGTTTTGCATTTTTCTAATATCCTCTTGCAGTATACTACAGTCAACTGAAAAGTCGGGCACCCATAATAATTATGAGGTTAGGTTATTTTAGGTTAGGTTAGCGGGCAGCCATGTGAACGAGTGGTCATTTCGTCGGGGGTGTTTTTTTTTAAACGCCGATTTAAAAAATTACGAAATCATAGTGAATGTATTCTACTATATGTCCGCACTAAACGGCTATTGCTTATTATATTTATTACGATCACTTGAGATTAAATTATTATGTATAGACGGCTGATAATAAAAATAATAACGGTTATTATAATCTGAATTGTCGAAGAGTTAATAATAATTATTATCGGATCGCAAGGCTAACACTTTCACTAGAGTGCATTGCACTGCTGCACAGTGTACCTATACATATTTCGGTTTTCAAAATTTCGATAAGAACCGGAATGTATACTACTATCTTTAATAATCAGCTGAACAAGTTTTATTGGATAAATCTGTAAAATAAATATCTATATATACAACAAACATATAACGAGTGAGCATACGTTTACCTATTTTAGATTCCGAGCGCAGCGGGAAATGTATTGATTTTTTAAAATTTTGTTTTTTCTGTTAACTTCTCTTCTACCAGAAATCTTGCTCAAATAAAAAAATTACAAGGCAATTTTTTCGAAGCATTTTGGCTTTAATAAAACGACGCAGTAATTTTACGTTTCACGTTTTTCCGTGTATATTTCTTAATATAGTTGTGAAAAACCATGAAAAAACGAGAAATTGTACATGGGTAAACCATTTGTAGTAACCTTTTATTAATCATTTAATTGTTTTCGATTTTAATTTGGTTAAAAATAATCGATCATTCTAGTGATTTTTGAGCAATTTATAGGTTTTCGTGTTTTTTTTTTTGGTTTTATGTGGCGCCAATTGTTTTAGCAGATCAGAAATTCGTGGACATTTTATATTAAATTTTATTTAGTGGCTAAAAAAAAAGTCGAACGTGATGCAGAAGTTTTTTTTTTAATAGCGTTTTGAGTTCAAATTTTAATGATAATCGTAAAAATTGGAACAGTTTAAAGTATTTATAGGTAACTAAACTTCGCATAGAATCTTACTTCGTAATCAATTCCTTATCGTTGTTGAATTCATATATTAATTGAATAATTATCTGTATCCTATCTTTTCAATTTCCTACTTACAATAATAACCCACCTATCAACATTTCAGTATCAGCTGTTTCTTTTTTTTAATTTGTCGTATGGGTGATGACCGAATTGTGAAAAGTGTCGTTTTATACGTAAGTGTTCATTTCACCAACAGAAGTTAAACATTTATTTTTAAGAAATTAACAAAATATTACCACCCAACGGTTCACGAATCTGTATAACTAATTTGGATTTTACGGATTTTGTGAAATTTCAAAACGTAATTATTTCGGATACCTATACTTACAACTACAATCATGACAAAAAAAAATAATTTAATATATTTTTGAACGTAATACTTACGTACATAGGTATATTATGTTGCATTACCTTTAAAATGCATTCAATTTTATATTATTGGTGAATATAGGATAGTTGAAAAAAAAAACAAACAAACTATAAGCAACAAATTATATTTTTACTTGGTGGATTTTTGTATAACGATATTTACAAATATTGTATTAGTTAATAATAAAACAGTCATGGTACATAGCATAAACATTTTTCTGGAGGGTTTGATTATAAATAATTATACAATAACCTATTAATATTAATATTATAATTACTTAATTATTCAATATTTAGTACAATGACTATCAAAAATTTCAAAATCTCTCCCTCCAAAAACAAAAAAAAACTATATTCTACCTTAAATTATAATATAGATAACATACAATAAATCATGATAAATGAACTATAAAAAATAACATTGTATACAGGCTTTTCGAAAAAAAGCTACAAATAATTTAACATTTCCTAATAAAAAATATACACAATAACGTCCAATACAAATTTCGTCTTATACTCGTCTTATATATTCAGTAACATTTCAACGACGATCCAGCAGACTCGTAAAAATACCAATCCAAGTACTGTTTTTAATAGAATGTGCGCTTTGTGTAATCTAAAAATCAAATTCGTGTCATTAAATATTAAGTAGGTATCAATTAACTTGACGTAATTTTAATTAACGAATCCTACAACATAGTTATATATTAATATTATGTTCAGTGTTGTTAAAGAAAGGCGTTAGGTGTACCTATTTGAGACCGGTCAGATCACTCTTTCGGATTTTAATCCTTAGTTTCCAAATATTTGATTTGAAAATTTTAAATTATAAACATTTAGAATAAAAAAAAAACTAAAATATTGCGAATTAAGATTTAAAACGATTTATCAATTTTAAGACATAAGATATTGTTCAGATTACAGATTACGGCTCAGATATATTATTTTTCGTTTATCTGGATGTGACAAAAGATCCATATATGAATACAGGCATCCATCTAGATAAACCATAACATTACATAATATTATATTAAATACATTAAATTTAATTTGATATAGAATGTAGAATAATATTGTTAATTA